TTCGCCGTTGTTTCTTAGTTTCAATCTATTGAGGTGTTCATTCTGGAGACAGGGTCCTGTTAAAAACCCCGTGATAATCCGAAGATTATATTCTTACTCAAATTAAGGATTTTTTTTATAATTTTTTAGAGTGTCTTAGACCGTTGGTGCATTTCCATTCCAGGTTACGGATGGAGTCTTCCAGGTTCTTGAGTTCCGCTTTAAGTTGATTTCCACTTAGGAAGCAGGACAGTGCTTGTCCAGTTAGTGCAGTGTTCGCTCCTTTTCTAGGTAGATCGTTTGATTTATCATTACATTCTATCCCCTGGTACAGCCACAGTAGAAAGACTATATTTTCTTTGTTTAATTTGTTCAGCTTGAGGACCTAGGTCGACTCAGCCTTAAATGAGTACTTGCGATGCATATTCCCAAGCAGAGGCGGATCGTGAATTTGTGGGGCCCTGGGCTGAAACTACTTAGGGGCCTACCTAAGTACTCAATTATAGCCATGTCAAAAAACATTGTAGTGACCCGCCATATTGGCAGCGTTGTCATAAGATTGCCCCCTCAGTAGTAATCCATTTGTTTCTATAAAGTCTTGTAGAATATTAAATAAATGTAAGGCAGTATGACTACTAATTTTAATGAAGGCTACACATCTTTCATATACTTTTCCCCGAAAACAGTATCGTTGTATAGCATGTATACCTATTGTATAGCAAGTTGTGAGACAGATCATTGTGAGACAGATCTGGTGTAGAATCCATCACAGTTGAATAATATTTTGTGTCTTTGTGTGTTTTTGATAAGTACGATATTATCGGTTTTGGTGGCAGCTCCCGATATTCAATGTGTTCACGAATGAATGGATCGAACTCTGCCAATAGCTCCAGACTCATAAAATTACCATTATGTGGAGAACCAAATACTTCCTCGGAACCTCTAAATGCTAAGCCTCTTATACTCAAAAATTTTACCACTACAATTACTCGTTTTTGGACATTCTGATAATAATATATTTCTTTTCTTAATTACTCCTGAAGCTGCTTGCCTAAAACAGATTTATTTTCTTTTCGTGTCAACCACACTAACATTGATTTCTTATGTTCATTAGAATTTTCGTGGGTTTCTAAACAAGTTCCTATGTGTTTCCAATCAGAAATTCCAGTCGTGTATTGAGAAGAGGTTTAAAAAAAAAGTTTGCAAGGCAAACAAAAAACAGCACAAACACTTGTTGAATATGTTAGCCAAGATCTTTCCAGTGATTGACCATTTTTCATTTTTTAGCGAAATGGCTATTTCAAAATGCTCTGTTTTGTTCCTTGTATTTCTTTATAGAAGCTGAATATATATTTTTTGGATTTTTATTTTGAAAGTCAGTCATTTTATGTGAGAGGATGTCATTAAATCATTATTTAGCAATTCTGGCCACAAGCCCATGTCAACATATTTCTCAAATTCAAAATTAATAGGTATTCTCCAAATCCGTGTCTCTGTCTCCGTGTTTGTATTACCATCCTGTCGCTGAACACCAATATCGTTTCCGTTTGATCAGAGGGTTGCTGGTAGTCAAAACTTTGCACATTTTCATCATTTGTCTTTTTTTCTTGGTGTTGCGATTTGCTACTCCCTTACTCGCTTACTCCCCTTCAAATAGATTATCTTCAGATAAGATCCCTTCCTTGGCGCTTGTTGATGAATTTTCAGCGAGTTCGTCCTCGTTTTTATGTTTTGATTTGAGAAAAGTCCCAATTTTTGCACATTTTTTTCTTCCTTTTTCTCAATCTAGCTGTAATTTGTGTTTCTCAGCTCCACTTTTATACTTTCGACCAGACATTATTGTAAATTAAGACTTTGATTTTTTTCTGAAAATAAACAATGAACTTGATAGTTTTCTGATAAATAAACAGTGAAGATAATCGTTGCATACGCTAATACTTTGTAATGAGTGCAGTAATTAAAAATTATGGTGGTTTTTTTTAATTTAGATTTTTTTTAAATTCAAATTATCGCCTATTGTTTTTAGCGGGGTCTGGGGGCCTCTTGTAACCTCGGGGCCCTGGGCTGCAGCCCAAACAGCCCTTAGGTAGATCCGGCCCTGTTCCCAAGGTAATAATAGGCATTTGAATTGTAGTGCTATCAACATAACACACAGGGTCGGCGGTAGCTCCAGCGTTAGTGTGTCGATCTGCGGAGCGGAAGGTACTGGGTTCGATCGCTTTATTTGTCGATTGTCGCTTTATTTATTTAAATAAAAATATTTATTTATCTAAATAGAACGACCAACGAGCCGCCACCTCAAGGAAGGCAATGGCAAACCACCTTGAGTATATTTGCCTTGTATATCCTCTTAAATAGTGCCGTTCGAATTCGGCGATAAACTGTAGGTCCCGTGTACTTGTGAAACACTGATGACACACATCACAAGTACATGCGAGAGGTAGCCGACGCTCTATATAGAGTATGGCACTGTAAGAAGAAGAAGAAGAAGAAGCTAGCCACATTACCTTCCTTGTATACCGAACAGCTGTAACACAGCTATAGTAAGCTGTATCCTGCTACTTCCAAAGCCACTGCCTATTATTATTATTATCTATATCTATACTAATATATAAAATCCCTAAGTGACTGACTCACTGGTTAATCACGATCCTGCTCAATCCACTCAACGTAAGAAGCTCAATTTTGGCATACAGGTTGATTCTAGGGTGTAGAGGTTCGATAAGAAGGGATGGTTCCAAGGGGGTGAAAACACCCCTCAAATATTACAATATTTTTTATTTAAAAAACGGTCAAGTTTCCGAAAAAAAAAACGCTTAAACACGTATATTTTATTTTGTTTTTTTTTATATTTTTAAGATTTTTAAAAAATGTATACAGGGTGTTTCGAAAAATCTGGTCATTGATTAATCACGATCCTGCTTAAAGCGCTTAACTTAAAAACTGATTTTTGGAAAACGGATTGACTTTAGTGTGTAGAGGTTCGATAAGAAGGGATTTTTCGAAACTCGAAGGGGGTGAAACCACCCCTCAAATATTAGAATATTTTTTATTTAAAAACCGGTGAGTTTTTCGGAAAAACTCTTAAACACGTATATTTTATTTTGTTGTTTTACATATTTTAAGATTTTTTAAAAAATTATACAGGGTGTTTCTTAAATATGACCTTTGAGTAATCACGATTTTACCTAAACTGCTTGACGTTTAAAGCTGATTTTTGGCAAACGGATTGACTGTGGGGTGTAGAGGTTCGATAAGGAGGTGTTTCTCGAATCTAAAATTCCAAGGGGGTGAAAACGCCCCTCAACCCTCAAATATTACAATATTTGTTATTTAAAAAACGGTTAGTCTTTTTTTAAAAAATTATTAATTTATTAATTATTAAGGGTGTTCCAAAAAGCTGGGTAATTGATTAACCACGATTCTGCTTAAACTGCTTGACGTAAAAAAGCTTATTTTTGGCAAACGGATTTTTCGAAAGTCAGATTCCAACGAGATGAAACTACCCCTCAAATATTACCAAGTTATATAATAATATCGCCATATTGTTTTTTCTCATGCTGACATAAATGTGAGAAAATTTTATCCAGTTTGTATGTTAATGCATGGAAATTCTTGCTTTGCTTTATCATCACCATTACAAATGATTAATTCGACGCAAACGAAGTCGCGGGTACACGCTAGTTCTTTATAAGTATTACCTGTATGATACTTTAGTATTAAAATTAGCTAAATAATTGGCAACACTGGCGTGTCAGTGTATCTTTTGCTCAGTCGTACGCTTCGTTGTCATGGTTTCCCCGAATCATATCTGGTTCTGTCCAAATAATTAAGCGCGATGCAATAAATTAGCCGGTAATTGTATTCGGCGCGGGAATAATCCGGAATTATTTTAATGAATATAATGGCTGGATTTCGCAGAATTGCGGTGGGTACGATACGCCACTATAATAGAGGACACAAAACGATGACACATTTTCTTAATAATTACTAATAATTAACCGTCTATATAGGTTACAAATAATTTCTGCGAATTATGATTTATTTATACAGTAACTTTTAAGTATCATTTTGTTAGATTTAAGAGAGAGATACTCACTGGATTGGCATTAGATGAATTGCGATTGAAGTAAACACCATACAAAGTTCTACTGCAAATTACAAAGGTTAGGAAAAGGCAGATGAATGGACAAACAGAACCCTTTTGCGCCGCCGCAAAAGCAGTTACAAGAATGGCAAACATCTCTAGAATAGTGCAAACATTCACTAGGATAGAGACAGACAAAAAAATTAAAGTAAGGATAAAAAAAGGAAGAAAAGAAATACTTTCAAGGTAAGCTGAGGTAAAGTATACTCAAACCTACTACATTTACAGCTCTTGGGGAAAGATTGTGTAGCTATGTGGTCTTAAAGAACTGCTTGGACGATATTAATAATTACATAGAAAATATAAAAGGCTATGCTGACGACAGTCAGGAAGAGTTAGTTGCGATCAGATTAGGAGATCGCATTATGAGTTGGTTAGTTGGTTAGTCCGTCGATGGGGTTAGTCGCATTGTTAGTCAGTTAGTTGGCTAGTCAGTGAGTCGAGGTTAGTCAATGGTTGGTTGCGAGAGAATCAGCAGAAGACAGTAGACGACGTTGAAGATATTCTGGTAAGTACTTCTTTAAGTAAACCCTTAAGTTTTGGCATTTCTTGAAATCGTCCCAATAATTTTATCCACACTGTAAACCTTATGCTAAATAAATGTGTTTGTTCTTCATGGTTGTTTTGATTAAGAGAGAGAGAACCTGGTATAGCGACCCTAGCGAACAACCCCCAAGCTAGGTCGCGACAATAACATTAGCCAAAACTTACGGCAGATCTGAATAACAAAGACAAGAAGACTGTCAAGACTGTAATGGGTCTATTAACAAGTCATTCAAAATTCAAAACTAAACTTATGACATGAGCTTGACAGTTTTTCAGGTATTCCAGATAGGGATGAACTCCGATAAATATATAACATTCCTCCCTCTTTTCAATTTGGTGAATATCTCATCGGTAAACGAATTACTCGATTTGATCTTCGTGGTATCCTTGGAGTGTGAGGTGTATTCCCTGGTATCACTGGAGGTTCTGGTTCACGAATTGATGTTCTGGCAGCTGGTGCAGTTGGTGTTTCTTTATAATAACGAATATGGCGTTGACGATCATACGTTGGTACCTCTATTTGTCCTTGAAATGTTCTTATTTGGTCTATATGACGTCTTATTTGTTTATCTTGATAGTTGATTTCATAGTGGAGATCACCTAGTCGTTTAGAAATTGTCCCATGGAGCCATTTGTCGAGCTTCTGGTTTCCAGATAGGAAATACACTCTTTGTCCATCTTCCATGGTGCGAAAAGTGAATTGCATCTCAGCTCGTTGTTTTTCTAACACTTTCGCTGATATATCATCAGGTCTCGTTAGATTGAGGCGAGTGCGAAGGTCTCGACCTAAGAACAATTGAGCTGGGGACTGTCCTGTGGTGAAATGTGCTGCTTTGCGATATTGTCGAAGGAATTGGTTAAGATGACGCTGTAGTGTCGCTTTCGTAGTTTTCATTGTATACTAAGGGCTGGCAAAGGTTAGTCTTGGGTCGAGATTTCCGTATGTAAGAAGAGTACAAATGCGTTTATAATGTACTGAACAAAGAGAGGACAGTAAACACGTTGCGAAACGTATCGTCCCATTGCTGCCAAAAGTCACTAACTTACTTTTTATTACTTCCGAGAAAAATGCGTCTAAAGATCAATTTCATTGTATAAAGATGTTGTAGTTAGTAACTATATTCGGTATTAAAATAAAACATAAATAGCCAGAAATCGTAGTTAATGGACTTTTGCAATCGATTCTCCGCTTCAAAACATAGTTAGTGATTGAATTTGGTTGTTCGGAAAAATGTTGCAATAATGCAATAGGACGGTATGAAATAAACCGAGAAACTGTGCACATCGCTAAGAGACGTGGAAGGGGATATAGCAGATTTGTCGCAGTTGACCGGTCGACCCAATCAATACCTCTGTCAGCCTCTGTCAGTACTTAAAGTTCTAGGGAAAGGTGTACGTCATGCGCTCAGCTTCACGATTTAATTACGTTTCGTGATACTTGATCTGTTTATTTATTAACGAGTCGTTGTAATTTTCCCTATAGCTTGAATTTTTTTAAGTGCAAGCTAGAAACACTTGCATTTTGGTAAAATAAGGTGGAATTGTGAGTGGGTGTTCGATAGTGGTCGCGCTATTAGAACTCTGAATTCAAAAATCGATATCTCGAAATCTATTAGAAATAATAGATTGTAGTTTTTCAAGAACTTTGTTAATATTTCTGCTGTATTTTTTCTTTGTAGACAGTATGCGAAAATCTTTATCAATAAAAAAATTACACGATTGCTGAAAATTGCTATGCTCTAAAAGTAAATGGATGGATTGTTTACAATTTTTGAATGGAAAAAACAACCTTATCGAATTTTTATTATGTAAACATATTGTAAAATATCCGATCTTGAAAATAAAAAAAAGTTTCAATATCTAAAGTGGTTCTTGAGTTATGGCCTGTTATGTGTTAAAAAGTTGAGTTTTTAAATTATCGTGATTACTGACGTTTTCTCGTTATAAAAAAAATGACACCTTAACGATATCCTTATAATTCTATTTCAGATGCTCAGAAACAAGTCTAATGATTTTATCTAGTTATCTCTTGAAAAAAAAGTCTTTTAAAAATAAGCGGATTGCGATCGTGATTTTACTCTACTTGATAGGGAAAGGCGTATCGGCAACGCTGCAACAGCACACCGTCGCGCGTCGCGTCTGTCGGTCGCATTTCTCTCACTCCGACTTAATAAAATCCCTATGCGATTTACTTCCACACATGTAAATGCCGACCCAAAAGTAACTGTTGCCAGCACGGTATACAGTTTCGCTTGTTCGTACCATCCATTTGTTGATGGATGGTACGGTGCTGATAGCTTGTGGTATTTTTTTTATATTCCACTATTCTTCAGGAAAGTTTTTCATCGAAGATCGTTGGCAAACAAATTGTTGTATACCATTCGGAATTAACAGTTCTTCGATCCTCTAATGGAATGGTTGGGAATGGTCAAATAGACAATCTGATAGGATCAAAAAATCGCCAACATGTCTCTTATTTTGGAAACTCCAGTTGCTGTTTTGTTGAAAACGACAGAGTCTTTGTTTTGTCACGGTTTTGACTGTTTGGTGGAAATCTGCCTTAAGAAACGATATACAGGGACAGTATGAAATAAATGCCATTACAGAATTAACATCTGTTTCAGTCTTATCATCTCCCCCAAACCAAACCGCCGCGCTCCCCCCTTAGCTCCCCGCAGCGGTCCAGACGTTTCGCGCTCAGTTTCTACCCGCCTCCTCCTCCACCGCCGAGCCGGCCGACTACGCGCGCCGTAGTATTAACCCCTTTCCCCCCATACTCCCCCAACGGCCGCGTAGTAACGTAGTAAGTCGCGGCAGGCTGCCCTCCGCGACTCTCGGCCAGTCTCGCGTATTTGTTTTGTTTGGCCGGTCGGGGATCGTCCCCCCGCTCTGTTCCCCCCTTCATCGCCGACGGTACGTCACTTTCCGCGGTATATGGTGTTGTCTCTGTCTGTCTCGTTGCGTTGTGTGAGGAATAGTATCGTAACCCGCGGGCGGTCGCTCGCCGAACGTAGATTGCAGATAGGTTCGGTAGCAGGGAATCGCGAGCGGTGTTGATTTTGTACGCGTCGTGCCGGTTTGTTTGTTTTTGCCGTGCGTCTTTTTGGTATTAATTTATATTTTTCTTTAAGTAATGTTTTAAGTAATAAAGCAAGACTTTTTAGGAAACGTAGCAAACTGACAGAGATTCTTCTACTCGTATTTTAGTGATCAGAGTGTGAACATTACATACCTGTTTTTTTCTTATGACACTTTTTTAGTAGGTACGAGCGCAACGATCTTAATCAATTTCATTAAGGTAAGATTTTCAAAATTTTTGATTATTTTGGAGTTTTCGATTCATATACAGGGTGTCGCAATATTCCGTAGACATAGAACTAATAGGTATTTTTGGAATCAAAATAAGTTCATTGGACACAATTTACCTTTATACAAAAGTGCTTCGTTTGTCCGTCAGAGGGAATAAAATTATAAAAAAACAATTTTTTCAGATATTTTGAGGACCGTAATTTCGATTTGAATGAGATTTTGTGTGTCTATGTTTTACTAAATGCTTTAACATTTGACATTCACAGAAATCAAGAAAAAGTACGGGAAGAGTGAAAACTACCCCTACCCCTACATAAATTTTAGTGTAAATATTTTCCAACTCCACCGACGACAGACTTTATTTTCGTAAAATAGTCCCTCTAGTATTTACTACACTTTTTGTCTCTTGTAAAAAATCGCCACATAGTTTTTAAGAAAAAATTTTTGGAGAATTTATTTTTCCAAAGCAAACCTACAAAATATACAGGGAATTTCAATATTCCATGGACATAGAACAACTACGTATTTTTTGAATCAAAATTAATTTAACGCACATAATTTACCTTTACACAAAAGTGCTTCGTTTGTCCGTTAGAGGGCATCAATCAAAAATAAACCCGACCGTTAATTAATTTAAAATTTAATAATTTTTTTAAGCTCTTTATGACGCGTATTGTCAAATATGATTTGTGATACTAACATAAAATTCCATTTTTTCGCCAACTGGATTATTAATAGCATAATAGATTTTATGAGCCTCCATAGGCCATAGCTTGATGTGACAAAAAACATTTTTTTGAAATTAGTTTTGGAAAAATATTTTTTTCCTCAAAAAATATGCTCGATGGCGTTTTTACAAGAGATAAAATATGCAGTAAATACTAGAAAGACCATTTAGGAAAAAAAATCGGTCGTCGGTTAAAAAAATGTGTTTATTTTTTAAAGTTTGGTGCCCTCTAGCAAACAAACGAAGCACTTTTGTATAGAGGTAAAATTGTGTCTAATTTATTTGGTTCCAAAAATACGTAGTAGTTTTATGTCCACGGAATATTGGGACACTCTGTATAAAGAATTGATGAATTAGGTATTGCATTTTACTAAGAGTGGGTCAAACAATCCTGTACCTACAGTCATGTACCTACAATCAATACCTATATCAATGGATTTGGATACATGTTACTTTTTAAGTTGGTGGGTTTCCATGTTTTGTTTAATATCTACCTATTAAAATATAAACATTCGTGTAAGTTGAATACATCCTTTTCATTGTATTTTGGTTCCCATCAATAAGGATGTTTTATTCAACTTCCACCACGCATTCGGTGAGCGATGTTTTATAGAAAAACTAATGCGTAAATGCATTCTAATATCTACATAAATTCTGACAAGTATTAATAGGGGATATTTTAGGATCGGCTTAAACACATTTATAAACATTATCGTTTTATGGTAATATACATTCCGTGGTGAAGACCAATAATGCAACAGGTGTCAGGCATTTATAGGTCTCAAAACTAATGAAAATATATTAGACTAGTATATCATTATTATAGACTGAATCGTCGAATAAAATGACTAAAAGGAAGGAGTCTTTTTGACAGTTTTGTTTGACGTTTCATTTGAAAGTTAAATTTGATTTGTTTTTTTTTCTGATATCTTCGGCATTTTTGGGTTTATTTTGTGTTATTTCTTGTTTATTTTATAATTGGTTATATGTAAAGTGTACAAGTTTGGAAAGGCAGTGTCAGAACTTAAATTAGAGTGAGATGTGTGAAATTCTGAATCTTTATTGCGTAAGAGATATTTGCACTTATTTAAGATTCATCCTGTATAACTGCGAGATTTTGCTTTGTAAACCCTGCATAATAGCTGAGAGTTTCGTTTTTGGGATGAATTGGCCATTGTAAATTGTAGATTGTATGGGAGGGTGGAAGTTAATCACCGCGACCTTATAGATCGATTGTGTCCCTCTTCCTTGAGTTATAACTCATCATACAGTCTCAATGCTTTGACAAAAACCAGTATCTGAGATGGTTTGGTGACTGTTAAAAACCGCGTGAGAATCCGAATATTGTTCTTACTTAAATCAACGAAAATGTTTCATTTTCCTCGGTCGTAATTTTTGAGGAATTTCTTTGAGTGTCTTAGACCATTGGAGGATTCCCATACCAGATTTTTTTTCAATAACAAGTGGCTGTCCTCTGCCGGAAACACTGCGTCCTGTGAGGCCTATTGTGTTTGTTCCCTTTCTATGCATTCCTGTCTCCTACTTATGCAGGTCCTTGATAGCCCAGCTGTCTCAAATAAAAAGTGTCGTTTGCGATCCAGAGCCTCGCAGTGACATATTATGCGCTCCACTGTTTCAGGATCTTTACCGCACAGTTTGCAGCAAAGCCTTCCTTGATACAGGTTGAGCTTGTTCAGGTAAAGCTTGACACCCATGTGTCCTGTTAAGCAGTTCTTTTGTGGTTTTAGAGCTAGGTCCTTGGAAAAAGACCTTGCTGTGCCTGTGCCAGAGTTTTAGTGCACTACGGGCTATACATTTCCCATTCCAGATGACGGATGGAGTTTTCCAGGTTCTTGATT